ATATATATATATATATATATATACATACATACACATACACACACACACACACACACACACAATATATGTATATATATATAATGTTAAATATTTACCTTTATATTGACAGGGTGGCCACAAAATATTAGCTTGTTCTATTATAAATATTAAGTGTGAATGGGAGCAGTTTTATACAGGCTATGGCACTCTGGGTTTTTGGTTAGATAAGCCAGGCATTTATTTCAGGTCACATGAAAGAGTATTCTAGGTCAGTCCTTGTCCACATTAGCCTGTATCATTTTGTCTTCATAACAGGAGTTACTATTTCAAATATCTACAGTTCCGTTTAGCTTTTACTTTTGGATGATTGTTAAGAGACATTTCATAGTTTGCTTCATGCATATTATTAAAGGATATTTGGTAAGTCTCAACTTGTAAATTTTGTTTCTATTTAGGACTGAAGAAATATACCCAATATATAATTGAAGTGTCTGCTAGTACACTCAAAGGTGAAGGAGTTCGGAGTGCGCCAATTAGTGTACTGACAGAAGAAGATGGTAAGTATGGTAGTGGATAGTGATGTATTTAGAATACAACACATTTCAGAAAAAACCTATGAAGATAAAAATATAATGAAAAAACAGCAACAACAACAACAGTGTCCTTGGGTATCAGTTGTGTGCCATTCCAGCATTACACAGATTTCTTTGGAGGCCTCTTCTCCTCTTCTCTCATGGTGAAAAAATAGTATAGTCAGATTTATGTTCAATAAAATCAGGTGTAAGATACTTTTTAAATTATTCTGGTGTCATCTGTGCCCTGTAAAAAAAAAATCACTAATTTTTTTTCATTGGAATTTTTAAGGTTAAAATTTTGGTTTGAATAGTTTGAACACCATATATTAGTTATAACTGTTCATAAGTTCATTAGTTCAACTTTTATGTTCATAAGAATAGACATTTACATAAGTTTTGTAGTAGATTCTGTTATGTGAACCTGTAACAGTTTCTTATTGCATTAGAGTTAGTTTGTTAATGAGCTCAGGCTGTTTTCCAGGTTCACTACATAATTTGCAAGATGTTATTCCTGATTGTTTATAGCCTTCCTATTGAATATTTAAATATACCTTTTCTTAACCTAAATAAAATCAGCTTTGCTACCAAGACCACTTTACACCAGTATTTCACTAAGTTAGAGGCATATATCATGCTAAGAAAATTAACTTTGAGGAATATAATTGGGTTTAGATTTGCGTTTATGTTTTATATATTTTGTGTTTTGGGACTGTTAATTTTTACTATAAAAGGATGCTCTATTCTAATGGGGAGGGGAGTGGCACTGTATGTATCATAAGCATTTGTAGGGTTTTTGTTTTTCTTTTCTCTTTCAAGTTTTCCAATCTTCAAGCTAGTTTGTATCCTGTGTATGTTCAGATTCTAGTCATTCACCAGGAAAACTGTGCATTGTACGCTTGTAAAAGGAAGGCTTTTCTCTGCATTGCTCGTATTTTATGCAATATAATAAAGTCTTTGGAGGCCTCTTCTCCCATTTCAGGTCCCCATGGTTTCCCCTCCACCAAATTACTTCACTAGAGCATGGTGGTTGGGTGCTCTGGGTTGTCCCAGTTTCTAAGTCTTCTTAGAGGTTAGTCTTCCTTAGTCATTGCCTCTACTTGCTATGCTTATTTCTCCAGCAACCTTTATCTGTTCAAAATTGTATTTTTAAAATTAAAATTTTTTTCAATTACAATTTACACTCAATATTACTTTGTATCAGTTTCAAGTGTACAGTATAGTGGTTAGACAATCATATACTTTACAAAGGGTTCCCCTCAATAGTATTTCAAATACATTTGGCACCATACATAATTATTACAATATTATTGACTATATTTTGTATGCTGTATTTTATATCCTCATGACTTTTTTGACTACCAGTCTGCAGTTTTTAATGCCTTCACCTTTTTCATCCAGTCCTCCACCACCTTCTTCTCTCTGGCAAACAAAAGTCTGTTTTCTGTATCTGAGTCTGTTTTGTTTGTTAATTTGTATTCTTTAGATTCCACATAAAAGTGAAATCATGTGTATTTGCCTTTTTGTGATTGACTTATTTCACTTAGGTCAATCTATGCTGCTGCAAATTGTTAGACTGCATTCTTTTTTATGGCTGAGTAATATTCTACTCATCTATTGATTAGCACTTGGGTTGCGTCCACGGCTTGGCTATTGTAAATAAAGCTGCAATGAACATAGGGGTGCATATATTCTTTTGATTTCGTGTTTTCAGTTTTTTTGGATATAACCCCAGAAGTGGAATCACTGGGTCACAAGGCAGTTCCATTTTTAATTTTTTTGATAAACCTCTATACTCTTTTTCATAGTGGCTGCACCAATCTGCATTCCCACCAATAGTGCACAAGGGTTCTATTTTCTTCACAAACTTGCCAACACTTGTTGTTTGTTGATTGATTGATAATAGCCATTCTGACACAACAAACCCAAATCTGTGGGACACAATTATATGCCACCTCAAGAAATAAGAAAAGTATCAAATGAACAATCTTTCCTTACATGTAAAGGAACTAGAAAAAGAAGAAAACATGAAACCCAAAGTGAATAGAAGAAAGAACAATAAATATCAGAGTGGAAATAAATGAAATAGAATCTAAAAAAAAATGCAGGTGATCAATGAAACCAAGAGCTGTTTTTTGAAAAGATAAACAAGATTTATAAACCTTTAACCAGACTCATCAAGAAAAAAACAGAAGGCACAAATAAATAAAATCAGAAATGAAAGAAGAGAAGTAACAAGTGACATCACAGGAATAAAAAGGACTATAAGAAAATATTATGAACAACTACATGCCAATAAATTGGACAATCTTGAAGAAATGGGTAATTTCTGGAAACATACAAACTTCCAAAACTGAATGAAGAAGTAACAGAAAAATCTGAACAGACTGATTACAACTACTGAAATTGAAGCAGCAATTAAAAGACTTCCAACAAACAGAAGTCCTGGACTGGATGGCTTCACAGGTGAATTTTACCAAGCTTTCAAAGAAGAAATAACAACTGTCCTTCTCAAACTATTTCAAAAAATTCAAGAGGAAAGGAAGACTCCCAAGCTTATCTTATAAGGCCAGCATTATTCTAATTCTAAAACCAGATAAAGACATTACAAAGAAAAAAATTATAGGCCAATGTCCATGATAAACATAGAGGCAACAATCCTTAACAAAATATTAGCAAAGCAAATCCAGCAATGCAGTACACCCTTGATTCTGCAGACCTCAATTTAATAGACTTTGGATTTAATGGACAGAATATTCTGTCCATATGTCATATGTGAAAATTAGCACCCTGTTCATTTTAAAAAGCTTTTAACCAAGATTTGCTCATAATTAAATTAACTGTTTTTTTGTTATTAATTCTCTGTTATTTTTAAGAAATTTTAGCGAATAGGCCATATGTTGGAAAGAAAACACTGTAATAATTTAGCCAACATAAATAAACATTATATGTCTACAACTATATTCTACATATTTAAATCAAAGAGCTACTGCTCATAATGTTCCGCAAACGATTAGCACATGATCACACTGCACCACATGTGGTAATGGGTTCTGTTGTCCTGTGGTGTGAATTTCTGCAGCAGTCTAAACAAGTGCTGGCAGATATTCTGATGTGAGGTAAGCCACACCCCAGCCATGTGCATTTGTTTACTCAAAGTGGTGAATGCACCCATTTACTAGCCCTATTCAGTAAAAATTTTAAATGACTGTAATGCATATAGAAAACTTTTCTGTGAAATTAAACTTCTCATACATACTTAATTTTAATTCACAAATGTGCCTACTTAAGTAAAACAGGCAAACTAACTAGTCAATTTTTTAACATACACATTTGGAAAGCCTATTTTATTATATAATGGACTTTCAGCATTAATGGACACCACCTTGCCTGAATTAGCCCGTTATATTGAGGTAAAAAGATCATACACCATGATCAAATGGGATTTTTTCCTGGGATGGAAGGTTGGTGCAATATCTGCAAACCAATTAACGTGATACATCGCATAAACAAAATGAAGGATAAAAATCATAGATCATATAAATCAGCGGTTCTCAACCTGTGGGTCGCGACCCTTTCACAGGGGTCGCCTAAGACCATCGGAAAACACATATATAATTACATATTGTTTTTGTGATTAATCACTATGCTTTAATTATCTTCAATTTGTAACAATGAAAATACATCCTGCATATCAGATATTTACATTACGATTCATAACAGTAGCAAAATTACAGTTATGAAGTAGCAACGAAAATAATTTTATGGTTGGGGGTCACCACAAAATGAGGAACTTATGATAAAAACTTTCAGCAAAGTGAGAATAGAGGGATCATATCTCAACATAATAAAGACCATATATGACCAACCCACAGCTAGCATCATACTCAATGGGGAAAACTTAAGATCAGGAACAAGACAGGGATATCCACTTTCACCTCTTATTCAACATAGTACTGGAAGTCCTAGCTACAGCAATCGGGCAAGAAAAAGAAATAAAAGACATCCAACTTGGAAAGGAAGAATTAAAACTGTTATCATTTATTTGCCCAGTTCTTTATTTCTATTCTAATTAAATTGTTCTGAGAATTTGAGATCTTATATGAAAGAGTCTAGGATAGCAGTGAACATATATTTCAAACAGTCAGAGTTTGTTACCTCTCAAGTCAATAGTTTCAGTGCATTGACTATGCATCTGAATACCTGGCTTGCTAAAAAATAGCGTCAAGGTAAACATCCATCCAAATCCTTGGCCTAGTCATTGATACAATTGCTAAGGGTAAAGAAGACCCCCTTATCAAAATACTGCAAGGAAATTGAGAAGGGATAAAGTCCTGAGAAAGTTTGATTTTTTGGATATTAGGAGTTCCTTGCCTCATGGGGCTTTCCGTTCAGTAGAAGAGATACAAATTTAATAAATGTAGATACAAATAATACTTACAATTCTAATTATCAGCATAAGTGTTCCCAAAATTATTCACCAGGACAAAAGAGGGACTCTAGCTATTCTGAGACAGCTGGGAAAGTGCAGCTGAGAAAATTATGTCTAGCTGTGACTTGAAGGAAGATGACTAAAGAAGGAGGGTGAGAGATAGGAAAGATCATGCCAGGCACATAGAGTAAGAGCCTTATGAAGACCCTTCTCATGTATTCTCATATTCCCTGTCATGATGAACTGGGTAAAATGCAAAAGACATTGCATTTATTTTTCTAATTTTTATACAAATGCCAAAATGATTATACAGTGTGCTATGATAGATGTGCAGTATTTTGTTTAGATAAGCATATTAATTACATGTATTAAGCAATACAAAGTTTTACATAAAAATATATTATCCAAGGAGATAGTAAGATTAAGTATAAAACACCAAGAATTAACTCATGTTCCATATACATATATTAAAGAATAGTATAGAACAGAAATGCTTGATTACAACTTATGTTATGAATCAGTGTTATTTTTTATTGAAATATATTTTCCCCCAATAATAAAAAATGTTAATTTTTGCAAAGATATTAGGGAAAATGGCATAGGCTTTTGTTTTGACAAATGAGAGCTCTCAGTTAGAAGTAATGCATGTCTTGGGAAACAGGCATCTCCAAATGATATGTGGATTCTTGTGATAATCAGTGTTTGATAGCATTTTTATTGTCCTGCCAGTGGGAATACCAAATGAAAATACAAATACAGCTGTCATCATTATTTCTTAGAGCTCATCTCATAAACCTTTTCTCTGCTCAATAAACCTCTTTTTTGAAACATTGTTGTTACCAAAATAATGAGAAAACACTCAGAGACACATGTATCTACACAACTATAACTGAGATTATTCAGCAAATAAAAATAAAAATAATTCAGGTAGTATTTTATCCAAATTATTGGAAAGAGCTATGTGCTCATGTACAGATTAATAAATTAACATTGTTTGAAGATCTCACAAAATTTCCAGAATTTCTATTAACTTCCTAATTGTTCATTTTCCATGTAAAACTGTAACAATGATCAGTTTTAGTGATTTATACCTTTTATATGTAAAAGTTGCATATTAATAGTCCAAAGCATTACTATACTGTAATACAGCAACTGAGAAATGCCATTCTAAATGTTTTATCTAAATAGAAATATACACTTGGCTAACTGGTTTACAGCAATTTTTTTAGTGCTTATTCAATTAGAATGGCTAAAGTGTTTGATTTCTCACACTGTTATAGCAGAATGAGATGTAGACCCTAAGCTGCATTTTACTGTTTATGTGCTGCATTGGTGTTTCCTTTGTAAACTATTCAGTTTCAAAGACTATGTGAACAGATATCAATATTATTTTACATTTCATTAACACAACTGAAATTGAGGTGTGTAGTTTCTATTTGTGGGGTCAGTCATTTTAAATGCTCTGTCAATATAATGCTTATCACTTTCACTTTTTAAATGTGGATTTTCCCCCCATCTATTTTTATTTTGTACGGAGCCTATTTTTTACTGTATATTATATTTATACACCACATAGTTTCTTTTTATTAGAGAATGATAATTTACCAAGATGTACTTGACCAGTAGGTGAATCACTGTGAAATACTCCTTGCTTTTTTCTCATGAAATGTTTTTTTCCATTGAATCACAGAAACAGATGTTCTAACACCACCATGCAAAATCTTCTTTTATCATCTCATTTTGAAAGTAAACATCAGTCTCTCCTGCCCATGGAGAAAAACACTGTACCTGATTCATTTACCAGAAAGTTTATAATAAAAATTTTGTGCACCTTCATTTTAACCTTTTCAATATACATTTAATAAAATGCATCATCTTTTACTCTGACTTTTCAGCTCCTGATTCTCCCCCCCATGACTTCTCTGTGAAACAGTTGTCTGGTGTCAGGGTGAAGTTGTCATGGAAACCACCCTTGGAGCCAAATGGAATTATCCTCTATTACACAGTTTATGTCTGGTAAGAATTTTTTTTTTCTTTTTTGGAAATAGTTCTGAGAACAAGTATTAATCTGTAACATAATAGGAATGTAGTTTATTTTTTTATTTCAAAATGTGATACTACATTAGGAACCTGATTATTAATAGGCTAGTTATTATGCTTTTATTAAGAAACAAGTTTTTCCCATATTATGTGGGAGCATAGTCAAGTTTTGTTGTAACTAAAACAAAAACAATTATGCATTATGCATAACTATAAGAGCATTTCTGCTCTTTAAAGTTATTGATCTGTCAACTTAAGTGAAGAGTATATAATTTTAAACTCTTCCAGAGTTTTACTCAACTATTTTCTATATTACTGTTTTGTTAAGTTTTCTTAAATATAATAATTTTAACTAAAATTTAACTAAGAAATATGTCTACAGAAATCTGTTACTTAAGGTCAGTTTTCTATTGAAATATAAGCAGTGGATTTATTGTTTTCTAATCACTTTTACCTGATTGCCTATTTATGCATTAATTGTGAAAAAATTAAAATCTTATAGTGTGTCTCATGTCAATTAACAACATGGCTATCCTACTTCATGAAAACTCAATAGATAAAAATTCGAATTTTCATCAATGTTGATGCTCTTAAAAGGATTCATCAGTTATGTAATATATATCCTAGTGCATTTTAAATATCTGAACTCAGAAAATACATTTTATACAATATTTTATGGAGCAGAGGCATTTCTTACTTTTAGATTCCTGACTTGGAAGATCCAGCATTGCGAGGCTACATTATTTCAAAGAAATTTACTTTTTTCTCCTAAATTAAAATTTTTATTTTCCTAATCTCTCTTTAAACTCTTTACATACTGCTATGTAGGACTACATCTCCTATGTTCTTCATTGACTTATTTCTAGTCATTTTTCCCAGTCATGGTGAAATTGGGAATGACATGAATGACGTTAGTGGGAAGAGAAGCAGTGGGAAGAAGTAACTGTTTTCCTCTTGTTACCATAGTCATTCATTTATTCATTCATTTTTTATCCCTTCAATTAACAATACTGAAGAAAACACACAATAAGTCTCCTACCCTCAAGGAGTTTATATCTAAAGGGATAACTGGATTATATACCCACAAACAAACAAATGAGGGAAGTCAACGGAAAGAGGGCTACTGCACTATTGCTTGGGTGCTTGGGAAAATCCTCTTTAAAGAGGCATTGAGCTGTGATCTGAGGAGGACAGGACCTCCCTGTCATGGGAAGATCTGCAGGGTGGGCTTGTCCAGGAAGAAGGAACACCAACTGCATAGGCTCTGCGGGGAAACACAACTTACCATTTTTAAGACAAGAAAGGAGGTCAGTGTTTCTGGGGTAACAGAGAGAGAGGAGAGTAATACTGGGGGGCAGACAGGTCAGTAGCCAAGCCACAGCAAGGATTCAGTTTTCATTTTAAGAACGATGGGAGTTACTGGAGAATTTCAAGCACTGTGAGTACTTTACTGAGAATGAATTGTAGGGAGCCAAAGGTGTAGCAGGAACCTGGTAGGGGTGCTGTTTTAGTAGTCTTTGCAATAGATGATATTGGCCATGGAAAAGACAAATGGGCCCCTTCGAGCTAGTTCTGAAGAGCTGACAGGACTTGATGATGGATTTGTTACAGGGATAAAAAAAAGATGAATCAATGATAACGTTCAGATTTTTTTAATCAAGTGTGATACTCCAAGATTTTTACATAATTTTATTGAGTTAAAAACAAACAAAGGGAAATAAGTTAATAAAATTGAGAGTCTAGATTTTTCTGGCTAGGGTTCCCGGTCCCTTCTCTATGCAGTGACCATGCTTGTCTCACTAAAACATCAGGGTGTTTTTAGCATCATGTGTGCAGCACACACACAGACACACAAGGTTAGATAGCATTCTGTGAGGTGTTGTCTACCTGGTTCTTTTCTCTCTGGTTATGAACTTTTACAGTCCATCAGATCCACTTATTCTAGGAATTCAGCTATAATTCTAAGTTATCTATTTTATAAAATTCTGAATTTTATAAAATGATAGTAGGATGTATTGCAATGGCATTTATTTATATTGTACTACCTTTCCAGAATATAGCACGTCTATATAATTTTGTATGGTTTATATGAATTCAGATGTTATATAAAACGACCTCGATTCTGTGACTGGTTCTTTGTGCTTTGTAATGTTGGTGTGGGAAGTGAGGACACTGATGCAGGGTAACTCATTCTTTTCTCAACCCCTCTGGGTTTAGTTCAGTTTCTTTTGGGTAAATAATTTAAAGTTCACCTCCCCAACAGTGCTTTTTCTCTCCTCTTTCTATGAGTATTTCTTTTCTGTTTCACTTCCTAAGATGGATTCTAGGTACAGGGGAAGTCCAATGAAAGTGGGGTGAGGGAATTTCAAGTCTGTGATACTGTGGTTCATCTGAGCTGGCTTCTGGGGAATCATTCAGGTACTGACCTGCCATCATAGCTTCTAGTTTCAATGTTCTTACTTTCGGTTTTGTCCTTGATCCAACCCCAGGCTTATTCTAGTGGCCTGGGTCTCAGCATGTCTGTCTCAACCCTCAGAGGCACTTGGTTGTTTTCCCTGCCTGAATCTGCAGTGTGCAGGATGCGAAGGTGACTTCCACACCCTTTCCTAGCTCTTCAGTGTCCACTAGAGGAGCCCTTAGGTCTTGCTGGCCATGGTACTATATAGAAGACAAAGATTTTCTGAGAGTCCTTTACAATGGGATTTCCTTCACAAACCTATTTGGATGTTTTCACCATTCTACCATCACCCTAAGATCCCAGGATACCCTAGTTATACTGCTTTGCCTTTTTTTTCCCTCTCACTCTTTTAGTAGTACAAAGCTTTTAAAAATTCTTGATTGATAAAAACTTTATTTTTTTTATATACTCCTTCCTCTCTACACCATCACTACTTATCACCCTCTATGGTCTCAAATCATATGTATAAAGAGAATGCAGAAAACATTTTTCCCTCTACAAAACTTGGTTTCATTTTATTTAATTAATTTATTTTTTTAAAATTTTGTTTTATTGCTTAAAATATTACAAAGAGTAGTACATATGTCTCCTTTTTCCCCCCTGCTTGACCTTCCCCCGGCATCCCCTACACCCCAGTGTCTTGTGTCCATTGGTTATGCTTATATGCATGCATACAAGTCCTTTGGTTGATCTCTTACCACCCCCCCAACCTTCCCCAGCCTTCTTGCTGTAGTTTGACAGTCTGTTCAATGCTGCTCTGCCTCTGTATCTATTTTTGTTCATCAGTTTATAATGGTCTTTATTATCCATAAATGAGTGAGATCATGTGGTATTTTTCTTTCATTGACTGGCTTATGTCACTTAGCATAATGCTCTCCAGGTCCATTCATCTGTTGATGGGCACTTAGGCTGTTTCCAAATCTTAGCTATGGTAAATTGTGCTGCTATGAACATAGGGATGCATATATCCTTTCTGATTGGTGTTTCTGTTTTCTTGGGATATATTCCTAGAAGTGGGATCCCTGGGTCAAATGGGAGTTCCATTTTTAACTTTTTGAGGAAACTCCATACTGTCTTCCATAGTGGCTGCACCAGTCTGCATTCCCACCAGCAGTGAAGGAGAAGGGTTCCTTTTTCTCCGCATACTTGCCAGCACTTGTCCTTTGTTGATTTGTTGATGATAGCCATTCTGACAGGTGTGAGATGGTACCTCATTGTTGTTTTGATTTGCATCTCTCCGATGATTAGTGACTTTGAGCAAATTTTCATATGTCTCTTGGCTTTCTCAATGTCCTCTTTCAAAAAGTGTCTATTTAGGTCC